GGCTCAGGGCAACCAAGGGCTTCAACAGGATCTCCCTCCACCTGCTGAGATTCCGGCTGACGCCCTCATTCTAGATCCTCATTCAGATGATCCCCCATCTATGGTAGAGGAAGGTGAATTTGGGTTCTCCCCCAGCCCCTCTAGAGCCTCTCCCAGATCTTTAGCCTCATCTCTAGAGGAGGAGTATTTGGAGGAGGAAATCCCTCTTTCTGGGCCTGTCACCGGGGCTTTGCCCCAGGACCAGGAACACACACCCCCCCCCGAGTTGACCACAGCCATGAAGGAGGTGGTTGCAAGAGCCATATCTCAAGGGATTACTGATGGTATCCAGCAATTGGCCTCTCCCTACCCCTCCCAAGCCGAACCAAAGCCAAGGCAAGGGTTCCTGATCCTCCGCAGCAAGCTGGCAAGGTCTCTCCTCTGGACTCCTCGGCCGTCAGTGAAGCATCTGACATAGAGGAGGGCGGTCAAGATGCCCCAGATTTTTCGGAAGATGAGAATCTGACCCCCGACATTCCCACATTTTTGGGTTTATTCAAGCCCTCCATGTTCCAGGCTATTCTTACCAAGGCAATCAGATAAGAATTCGACTGATCAGGGCAATAAGCCAACAGAGGGAACTAAGGATCTAGGTGCAGGACTGTTCAAAGAGACCACTCCTCCCCCCAGGAGCTGGTTCCAGCTCCCCATTTTTTCCTGGACATTATTCAGTGCCAATGGGCCCAGCCGGGTTCCATGGCAAATCCAAATGGGGTGGATAAGAAGCTGTATTCTATGGAGGCTGCCATGGAGGATATCCTAAAACTTCCTCAGTTGGACGACCCCATAGTGTCCCTAACCTCAAATTCGTCTCTCCCAGCCGACCTGCTGGAAGGACTTAAGGCTGAGGACAAGAGAGCAGAGAAAGCCTGTCACAAGACTCACATGGCCACTGTGTGGGCCATAAAGGCTTCCTCTTCCTCTTCCTACTATGGTAGGGCATTTTAGAGTGTTGTATAGGAATGATAATAATAGAAACCTTAACAATTACATTTCATATGATTTTTCCACATGAAAAAATATAAGAATTTTAGAATAAAAGGAATTCCATTCCATTTGCCTTAAATCATGCTGTGTTCAATAATATTTTACCATCTGAAGTACTAATCTTTAAAATGTATGTTTGGATGCAGTGGAATAAAACTTAAAGCTGCAGGTTTTAGATTGTATTATTGGTAACTCTGCCTTCTGGAATTTTGATTATCTGTAATTATTTTATTGTTGGAATATAATTTTTAAAGGAAGTTTGAGCTACTTCCTCTTAATCCTTCCATCCAAAGGGATCTTTTATTATTTTTTTTAAAAATACTATTGTTTGTTAAAGCTTTTTGCTATGTTGTACTTGCCACTAAGCAATTTGATTTTATATTTCTACTTGTTACATATTTTAGAATTTCAGCCCAACTATTAAATAGTACAGTATCTAATGCCTTATGCTAGATCTTGAAAAACTCAGTAGATGAGAGAGTAGCAGGAAATTATACTGGAAGTTTAAAAATATCCAATGCAAAGGCAATGTTAGACTATCTCTGTATTATTGTAATATTAACAGCCATGGATATGTCCATGAAATAACAAGGTTAAGTATATGAAAGAAGACTTGGCTTTTTCATTTTTTCCCCAAGCCCAATATAGGAACTGAATCCAATCAAATCTGGGTGGGTGGGCGGCAAAAGAAAAGTATTTCTAAATATTCATCCATTACAAAATGGTCACTTTTCTGAAAATACAAAGCAATTACAAAATTATAGCCAAGAAGTACAACATTCTTTCCTTCGAATGTTGTACTTCTTGCCTATAATTATGTAATTGCTTTGTATTTTCAGAAATGACTAAGAGGCTCATATTAAAAGTGTTAATTGCAACTTAAAGGTGGGCTTGTGGTTGCAACTAATTTTGTTTTCACTAGATTTCCATAATTTATTATGAAAAGTTGGAAATATTAAGAAGGAAAACTAGTTGGACTGGAATATAGTCTTCAACCAAACAATCCCTGAATTCATGGATATCACTTGATGAAGTACACAGAAATAAAATTTGCTTCATTTTGCACAAGGAGATAGAAGAATTCAGTTTCAGAGGACTGCAAAAAAGCTAATGTGGTTCCCATCTTCAAAAAAAGGGGAGAAATAGATCCAGGAAACTACAGACCTATCAGCCTGACCTCAATACCAGGGGAGATTCTGGAAAAGATAATCAAGCAACGAATCAGTGAACACCTAGAAGTAAACAAAGTAATAACCAAAAGTCAACATGGGTTTGTCAAAAACAGATCATGTTAAACTAATCTTATTGCATTATTTGACAAAGTGACAAAATTAGTGGACCAGAGGAATGCTGTCAGTATAATTTACTTGGACTTCAGTAAGACATTTGATAAAGTAGAATATAACCTACTACTAGATAAAGTAGAAAAATATGGGTAACAGCATCACCACCAGATGGATTCGTAACTGGTTGACTAACACAGTGTTTTTCAACCACTGTGCCGCGGCACACTAGTGTGCCG